GACCCAGGGGTCGAATCCAGGTCTCTTGCATTGCAGGCAGATATATATATACACAGACACACACACACACACACAATTATTTTTAAGTTCCTAGTCTTTTAATTTCAAATGTATCTCCAGTATCCTGCATTTGTGTTATGCTCTCTTCGCTGTTGCTTGGTTTTATATCTTATTTGTATGCAGATGATTTCCTACCTTTACTTTATGTTTTCCTTTACTGGGGATCTTTTCCATTCATAATTTTCTTGTTTCTAGGAGTGGCCTTTTCTTTTACACTTAGAGAATTTCCTTTAGCATTTGTTGCAAAACTTGTCTAGTGGTGCTGAATTCTCTTAGCTTTTGGTTGTCTATAAAGCTTTTGGCTGTCTATAAAGCTTTTGATTTGTCCATTCAATCTGAATGAAAGCTTTGCTGAGTAGAATATCCTTGGTTTGTAACTTCTTCCCTTTCATAACTTTAAATATATTGTGCCACTTCCTTCTGATAACCTTATGGGAGTTCCCTTGTATGTTATTTTTTGCTTTTGCACTTGGTGGTTCCTTTCAATTTGGGCAACTCAGGATTATGGTCTGGGAAGTTTTCTTGGCTTATTTGAGTTCCTCCCCTCCATTTTCTTTGTTCTTTTGGCTCTACTTTCTGGGAAATTTCTTCAACTTTTTCTGACAGCCCTTCTGTTGAGTTTTAAATTTCTTCATATGCTTATTTTTCAAGAACCCTGTTCTTGTTTCCTGAAAGTTCCATTTTTGTTTCATAGTTATGTTTCCAAGGATATTAATGGTATTAATATTTGGAAATTTTTTTCTTGTTTAGTCTGTTCCCTCTAAGTTCCTTTTTCTGTTTTGATCTCTATCATCCAAATTGGAGACTCTTCTCCAGATATCTTGGGAGGTTGGTTGTCTATTCATGAGTAGAAATAGGGCAGTGGTTCTTTAGGGACATTTGACAATGTTTAGAGACACTTTTAATCAGCAAAACTGTCGGAGGGGGTGCTACTGGCATCTCCAGGTAGTGGCTAGAGATGCTGTTAGCCCCCCTACAATGCACAGGACATCCTTGCACAGCAAAGAACTATTTAGCCCAAAATGTAATCAATGCTGTGGTTGGAAAGTTGATTGAAAACGAACTTGTGACAGAACTTGTTGATTTTGGGTTTCAAGAAATGTGATCTGGTTGAGTGGTTTGAGCAACATAATGTCATTATCTTTAGGTCTTTCCTTCTGGCCTGGTCACATATTCAATAGAAAATCTTTTCCCTGCTGCCTGAAGGATAAAGAGCTAGCTTTTAATATCTCCCTCTCCCCCATTGAAAGGGAAAAAAAGATGAGCTGTCTACATTCATTTTGTGTGTGATCATATAATCCCTCTGGTTTTTATATAGTGTCCACTTCCTCAGCCGCCTGTGTCACCAGTTCTATGACCCTATGTTTTACACTCTTCAGTGAATTGCCCTTTGTGAGGTTAAGGTAGGGCATTTACGCAGTGTCTTGAAATAGAGGAGGAGGATCTAAGATTCTTTTTTAAAAAAAATTATTCATTTATTTAGCTTTGCCAGGTCTTAGTTGCAGTATGTAGGATCTAGTTCCCTGATCAGGGATCAAACTCAGGGCACCTGCATTGGGAGTGTGGAGTCTTAGCCATTGAAAAGAAAGTAAAAATGAAGTCGCTCAGTCATGTCTGACTCTTTGTGACCCCATGGACTGTAGCCTGCCAGGATCCTCTGTCCATGGGATTTTCCAGGCAAGAATACTAGAGTGGGTTGCCATCTCCTTCTCCAGGAGATCTTCCCAACCCAGGGATTTAACCCAGGTCTCCTACATTGTAGGCTGATGCTTTATGTCTGAGCCACCAGAGAAGTCACTGAGCCACCAGGGAAGTCCCAGATCTAAGACTCTTAACTACTTCTCTAATAGATTTCATTCAAACCTTGTTAGTTTAGCCCCACCCTCTCTTTCTCAGAGTTCAGATACTTCTTGAGAATTCTGTAGTGTAAATGAATTTGGTTCTGAACTATTATTTTCTCCTTGCAATTCAGGCTTCCTACAAATGCTAAGCCAGTTACCATTACTCCATCTGCTTTCTGGCCTCCAAAATTTAATTATTAATTACTATTGTTTTCTCTCATTCTCACAGTCCTTTAAAACTTGGAAGTTATCCAAAAGGTGTAGTGAATTGAAGCATACTATACAAATATATATATAAATAGAGTCCCAGGGGTTTATGTGTGGACAAAAACCAATTACGCTAAACATTTCCTGAAATTGCTTGCTATTGTCGGGATAAGTCATCACAAGTAAGACATCCACCTTGAGAATGAAAACATTTGTGGGAGTGCAGATTCCCATTGTTACATTGTCTTCTCACAGAGGAAAATCTTTGAACAGTTTTGATTATCAAAAGGTCCTTTTTGTATAGGGTGCTGAAAGGTACATCATTACCATTTCTTTTTGTCTTAGTTTAGCTTTATTAGATTGCTTGACAAGAGATTTGAAACTGAGTAATAACTGATGTCTTGATGACTGCAGGATGAAATAACTGATTCGTATGATCTCAGAGAAATGTTTAAGTCTAGGTTAGATTATATTCTTTTGCCTGTCCTCTGATTCCAAGAATAAAGACGAACAAACTTTAAGGCAAGAAATATCACAAATGTCCTACTGTACCTGAAGAACTTTTTGCTGTCTTCTGATTATTCTTCCCTGGAGAATCCCCATGGACAGAAGAGCCTGGGGCGCTCCAGTCCATAGGGTTGCACTGAGTTGGACAAGACTGAAGCAACTTAGCACACACACACATCCAGGTGTACTTTTTTCTACCTGTAAAAATCAGTGAGATTGTTTTGTTTCCTGAGAAGGAGGGAAATTCATACATGTATACATGTGTGTGTAATTAATAAATTATGTAGTCTTCCAAAAAAACTATGCTAGCCTTCAAATAAACTAATGTAGTATATTGTGATTGAATTCTGTATTAATCAGTAGTTGATTCAAGCATGTTAGATTAACCTTAGTTCAGATACTTATTTTATAACTATTAACAATTTATTGATCAGAGACACATTAATATGTCTTTTGTTGCCCAAACATTTTTGACCAGAGACATTTCAATATTAACTTACATAACAAATTGTCAGCTACAGGTGTTAGTTTCTGCCAAAATCCCCTGGTCAATAATGTGTCAGTCATAAGGAACCAAGTGCATATTTGTGTTTTTAATGCCTGGGCCTGGGCATTGTTATTTTATCAATCATCACAGTTGCTTCAATTGTATGGCCAGTATTGAAAGCCACCAATTTCTTTTTTCTTTTTTTTTTTCTTTTTCTCATTTATTTATATTAGTTGGAGGCTAATTTCTTTACAATATTGTAGTGGTTTTTGCCATACATTGACATGAATCAGCCATGGATTTACATGTGTTCCCCATCC